GAGAGAGAGAGAGAGAGAGAGAGAGAGAGAGAGAGAGAGAGAGAGAGAGAGAGAGAGAGGTACAACTGCAGATGAACCAACAATGGGAGGAGAGCTTGCTTCTTTGATTGTCTGGAACATCATCTGCCTTGGTAACTATCATTAAAATAATCTACCCATTCTTGAATGATTCTTCCCAGCAAAATTGAGAAATGACTAAACCTACTAATTTACTAAACCCTCGTTTATAATAGCCTTCTAAGAGGACAAGTAGAACCATTGCTACCTTTCCCAGGCAAAGTTGAGAATCGCAAATGCGACATCTTTCTGTAACCCCAAAGACTTAGGATGAACAGTGCTACCGGACCAAATGCCTGGCTGAGCCAGTCAAAGAAAGATAAAATTTGGTCCGGTAGCACAGTGGTTCCGTTTTTTTGGCACGCAGGGGAAATCCGCCTTGGCAAAAAAAAACAGGCTCGGAGGCAGTGTGGTTAAAAAGCCCCCTTCTGGGTTGGCGAAATCTCGGAAGGGGTCATTAGTACTCGTTACACTAATTACTAATCAGGCAGCCTAATAAATATTTCTGCCTTTTTGTTCGTCCGGACAGTGCTACAGTGCTACTCGTGTATAATGCCACATATTACCGATGATGGTTTGCAACTTTGCACTCTGTAGGAGGAGCAGGAGGTGTTGGATTGATGGATCCCGTCAATCCTCGTCAATGCCACGTGTTACCTGTAGTACTGTTGACATGAGGAATTGGAAAATGGACATAGCGAATGTGTCCTTTTGTGTCACAGACCTGATTGCTGCTGATTTCTCTCATTTCCAATCCTTGCTTTCAACCCTGTTTCCACCCTGTTTTTTTCCATACCCGTTTCCAAGCCTGTTTCCAACCCTGTTTTTTTCCATACCCGTTTCCAAGCCTGTTTCCAACCCTGTTTTTTTCCATACCCGTTTCCAAGCCTGTTTTCAACTATGGTTCCAGCCCTGTTTCCAACTCTATTTCCAGCCCTGTTTCTCACTCTGTTCCCACCCCTGCTTCCAGCCCTGTTTCCCACACTGTTTCCCACGCTGTTTTTCAACTTGGGAAAGTCTGACTCTATCTTCTACACCAGATGCACCATACCACCGCCTTTTTTTTCAAAACAAAAAGAGGCCGATGGTCCCGAGATATCATCTTCAAAGTTAAGTTCGAAGGAATCAGCCCCAGTGTCAATTCAGAGGTATTTAGTATTTACTCATCTGAGTTGATTGGGATTCGAACTCAGGTCTGTAATTTCAACAGTTCATGGGTGTACCGACTACTGAGCTAAGCGCGTTGCATACTGTAACGGTGCAGACCAGAACAAGAACCGACCTCTCAATACAAAGTACACGATAGCGTAGCGGAAGACTTAGATACCAATGATCCGAACAATCAATATTGCAATGCAGCCCCGAAGATACATCATCATCATCATTCCATGGTGTGAAGGGGTCTGGCG